CTCGAGTGCAAAGGGTTAATACTTTTTGACATTTTATATACAATAACGAGAAGAATCAATTTATGTAATGAGTATTGTCCTCCTTTTTCGAAGTCGGTTGAAATGAAATATATGGTTTCATTGAAGAATCAAATGTAAGTGAATGCCACAGTTGTATAATTACACCAAACAAAATAATTGCATTATGAAACGAAACAATTCTCAATTACAATATTCAACTTTTTCACGTATAAATGTCTTGTATTTTTTCTTAGAAGAGAGAGCTGTAATTTGTTCCAGTTTCCCAGAATGGTGTTTGAACGTCTAGATTCTAGAATAAGGCAAAACCAAGTAAAGCAGCTCAAGATGACAGCAACTCGAATGAACGTTCTACGCCAATAATCCAATAGTATCAAAATTGAGAAGGTTATATTTACAGGATACAGTCTCCAAGCTCTCTTTAAGTTACTGTTACACCCTACATCCGGAAATGAATCGATATTTTACTAAATCGCCAGAATTGAGAAATGGCTCGTCTTAGATTACTGAAAAATCGCAAAATTGCACATGTACGTATACACAGGGAGAGAATAAACTGACTGTATACAGTGTGGATTGCGTAACACGTATTTGAATTGGGTGCAATGGTCATCAACGACGTCATTAACGGTGAATCCACTGCCAAGGCGCAAACGCGATTGACCTTCATTCCTAAACGTGGACGTTCGTTTCTCGTTCGTTAATTTTGTATAGTGGCACCGAAGCTCGTTCTGTTCGGAACAGGTCTAATGAAGAAAAAATCTAATTAACGAGATACGGCTCTGCTGCGCACATCTCTGATAATTGCGTACCAGCAAACATAACGTCACCTCGTGCTGCGTTATGTAGGAATTTTCCTCTTGAATTCACTATTGAATTGCAAAATCAATGCGAGATCGTCAACGCTGAACTCTTCCAACTTAACAATTTGCGATTTCGTATCAAATTCGCTTCTAATTAGACAAAAAATAAAATAACACACTTTGAGAATGTGTACTTTGGAGGAACCATCAAATGGCAGAGTACGACGAATATTTAGTATTAAATAAATACTTTCGATAAGGTAGAGTATTATGAAAATATGAAATTTTAATTGGTTTAAATTTTGAATATGCAATTGTCAAGAGGAAGAGTGTAAGCTTATGCAATATATATTAAAAATATAATGTTACCAGATTTAAGCTTGAAGGTACCTTAATACAACGGAGTTTGAAAACTTTATAAAATCATCTAGTTTTCTGAATTATGTCAAAGTATCAAAGCACGTATGATAAAGCATGTCATATCGTAACTTGAATAGATTTACAGAAAATATAAATTTAAGCATAAAGCGTACAATTTTGAAATAAACTTTTTTAGTGCTTTTAATATCGCAACCACTATAGAAACTCTTTTTTTTTATTTAATTTATATTGAATAATTACATTCTGTTAATACAATTGAAAGTTTCTTGGAGTGTCAGCATCCATTAGAGAATAGCAAATTTTACTTTTTACTTTACCTTAAAAATCTACAACAGTGATAAAATTGATAAATGTTTTGATCTTTCTGTTGAAGTACACGTTTGATGATTAATACGTCTGGATTAATGATGATCTGGAAAATTCACCGTACTTAGCGATTTTTTCACTGTTATTGATTACACGTAACATAGCGAGAAAGAATTTCTTGTTTCCAATGCAGATTTAAATTGAAAAATCTTTATGCATACCTGACCAGCAGGTTTACGAATGCAAATTGACGATCTCTGTAGTTCATTTATTCTAGCTAACGAAGCGGATGATTTATTTGTGATACCTTAAATGAGATACAATATTTTATATTGCTGATGTCTTCCTGTTTGTATCAATCAAAGTTAATGGTAATTTTTAGGAATGCTCCACCAACATATATCAGACGATTAATTCCGTCTTCATCATTTGATATATTCAGTCTGTATCTTTCCTCTTTTCGAATAGACTTGATATTCCTGATCTCTGATTTCTTCTCCGCTAGTATGACAATAAATAGAGTGCTCTATACAAAATTCAAAAACATTCATATTTTTCTATATTCAATCTTTCACTAAAAATATTCTTTTTAATTGCTTTCATTCTTGTATCTTATTTTGAAGAGATTTTCCCTCACCTAGCCTACTCTCCCGACTGGCCCCCAAGTGATTATAATTTGTTCAGATCAATGCAACATGGTTCGGAAGACACACATTTCTGTAATTACGATGAAGTTGGAAATTGGATTGCTGAATGGATAAGCTCGAAAGATAAACCGTTCTTTCGTCGCGGAATTCAACTTTTCCCAGAAAAGTGGGGAAAAGTAGTAGCTTTTGAGGGCAAATATTTCGATTGATATTTTTATACATATACACTACGGTGCATAACTATAGCACCGCTACCATTTTCGTGCGCTTTGTAGATTTAATTAATAATTTCTAATTTTTAATAGTATTGTGTGAAAAATATATTATAGCAATGATGAAACGGCGAACACAACATTCATTTAAGACAACTAATATACTATAGATATTTCATGGGTTTACAACTATACCACCAATGGAATTATAACATAATAACTAGACTGCGGAAGTTTATGCACGATAAATATGTAACATGCATATGCAAAATATGCACGAAAAATTTGAAAGCCTTTGACTTCCAGGCCACGGACATCTAGGCAAATATCTGAACAGTCTCAGTTTGTGGTTGATACACTATTTAGCTTCTTCATTTCACCTCCAAAGTGCGGAGCAGTCACTTTGCATGAGTTGTCATTAGGGTCTGAACGTCAGCACTGTTGAACACAGCATTTTAGCTGCGCATAGTTGGAAAGCACCGAATTTTTCATTGTGTTATACAGTGTCACCTTTTCACTTTGCTGGAAAGCACCTTCATGTACTGCCAGCTCATTTCGATTTCACTTCTTTTTCTACTTTCTTGAATTTTTTTAGGAGGATCTTCTATTTTTCTATGATTACTCTTTAAGTCCTGTACTTTTTCATGTACTTGGCGTAATTTTTTTACTTTTTTGAAGTTTTTTATGGTGATCTCACTTCTTTTTACAAAGATAATTTCTACAGTGAATGACTTCAAATAATAGAAAATGGGAGATCAATTTGAATCCTTTAAGGTTTCAAAAGTACGCGGAACGCATTGCGGGAAGTCTCATTGCAAGAAAATTAAAGAAAAAATGTAATCACTTTTCAGTAACATTTAAATGCAACAAGACTTTCTCTCATGTGTCGCGCGTACTTTTGAGAATTTAAAGGACTAAGTCTGACCTCTCTTTTTCTATATTATTGTAATACAATAAATTATGTATTACAAATAGTGGATCTCTGTTCCTTTTCTCATTTTCTCATTATTTAATTTGTTACAAGACTTTCTACCATGCGTTCTGTGAACGTATGAATTGTATTCTAATAGCAATTGTGCGTTAGAAATGGTTGATCTCTTTATTCATTTCTCATTTCTTCTTTAATAAATTTTTTGCAATGAGACATCCTGCAATGCGTTCTGCGTACTTTTGAAACCTTAAAGGATTCAAACTAATCTCCCATTTTCTATATTATTGTAATTACTTTATCAGTAACATTTAAATTTCTGGGAACAAGACTTTCTGTCATGTGTTATGCGTACTTTTAAAAACTTAAAGAACTTAATCTGACCTCTCTTTTTCTATATTATTGTAATACAATAAATTATATGTTACAAATAGTGGATCTCTGTTCATTTTCTTATTATTTAAATTTCTTGCAACAAAACTTTCTGTCATGCATTGTGTGTACACTTGAAAATTCTAAGGACTGAATTTGATATTGCAATACGATAAATTGTGCGTTATAAATAGTGGATCACTTTTTTTTATTTTCACTTAAACATAAACATTTAAATTGCTTGCAACAAGACTTTCTGCCACGCGTTCTGCGTACTTTTGAACTTTATTCTAATACAATAAATTATGCGTTACAAATAGTTGATTTCTTTTTTCATTTCTCGCTTCATCTTTAACATTTAAATTTCTTGCAGTGAGTCATCCTGCCATGCGTTCTGTATACTTTTGGAAACTTAAGGGACTGAAGCTGGTCTCTTTCCTTTATCTGGCTTCAGACACATTATGTATATTGTAGACTCTATGCTTACTATAATAAAATAAGGTTTGTATGTGTTATTTACAAATAAAATTAATGTCATATGAATAACGCACAATTTATTATATTACAATACCAGATTCAGTCCTTTAAGTTTTCAAAAGCACAAAGAACGCAAGGGAGAAAGTCTTGTTGCTAGAAATTGATGTGTTAAACATGAAATGAGAAATAAAGAAAGAGATCCACTATGTGTAACGCACAATTTATTGTATTAGAATAAATTTCACAAGTATGCACAACGCGTGGCAGAAAATTTTGTTGTAACAAATTTAAATGTTAATAAATAAAGTAGGAAAATGTACAAAGGGATCTACTATTGGTAACGCACAATTTATTGTATTACAATTCCAGTTTCAGTCCTTTAAGTTTTCAAAAGTACGCACAATGCATGTCAGAAAGTCTTGTTGCAAGAAACCAAATGTCACAAATCCAAACTGATAGTTACAGGTTAGAAATGAACGAGCGGCATGAGTGACAGCCATATTAAAATTCCGACCGACGAGCCTTCCCGACTGATTCCGAGAGTCGACAAATCGACGAATGGCCTTAGCTCCTATTGGCTAAGTGTTGACGAAAAGAATAAGAATAAGAATCAGAATCAGAATCAGAAGAAAAATCTACGATATCTCAGTTGTACATAGAGCGATTTTATTGATTTTGGTTTGATTGAAAAGCTTATATGCGATTTACATTAGAAAAATGCCTTTAGATTTAGAAAATACAGCAGGCGTGACGAGATATTAATGACAGAAGTTTTGGGTTAGGTTGGAATCGCGTTTTCTCGAGTAAAAGATACGCGGTACTTGACGTCGAGACGCTACCGCGTCTCTAGATATAATATTCAATCACCAATGCCACACACAGTCTTTTATCATTAGAGAATCTTGGTAAATATAATAGTGGCTGGTAACGATTCCGATCTGATGTTATTATCACATCTGGTATTCTTATTTCTAATCCTGCTTCCGTATTTCTAACATTTCTTACTTTAATACTGGCTAGCGTCTGGACCCTATGGGCGGTACATACGGCTATTAAAGTCACCGTTTTATACGTTAAATCTTGTAAACTTAAACCCGACAAGGGATCTAATGTTCTTAAGTAATTTAAAACAACGGATACATCCCAGGTAAAGTTATAGTTTGGTCTTGGTGGCCAATACCTTTAAAAAACCGTCTTATTACTAAATCTTCACCACATTTATGGTTATAAATATGTGGCTGCCGACAAGGATGTCAATAAAATCTCCATTGAGGCGTGAGGGACTTTCATGATCTCGAACGCCTTGATGATACTATTCCTGCTATTCAAGACAGGTGATGGTATCTTGGGTGACAGCCTGCCCTGCATGACAATAAATTTTTATTGGGTTCGAATATCACTACTTCTGATACTAGTAATTCCAACAGTAACGGATACCAAGGTTGGTTAAGCCAGTTCGGTACTACCATTATCCCCCGTGTTTTATCATTTTTATCTTTGTTAGAACCTTCAGAATTAAACTGGATGGTGGGGAGGCGTAAAAATTTAAATTCGTCCATTTAACCGTAAACGCATCAATTTTCTCTACCTTATCATCCAGCAACCAAGAGAAGAATCTATTGCATTTATTATTAAATTTTGATGCAAATAAGTCTACTTCCGGAATTCCAAATTTGTTTATAATCTTATTAAATGCATAACTAGCCAATTCCCATTCAGTATCATTACTTTCGATTCTCGACAGTTTATCCGCCACCACATTATCAACAGACGATATATATGAAGCAAATAAGAAATTTTTCTTTTCCTCAGCCCATTTCCAAATCTCTTTTGCCAACTTGTTATATTTGTACAACCTCGTACCACCCATTTTATTTATGTAGGCAATAGCTGTAGTATTGTCTATTCTTAGTAATATTTGACAATTATTTAACTCCCCGGCCAAACCTAACGAGCTAACTTAACTGCTAAAAGTTCTCTGAAATTAATCGATAGTAGTTTCTCTCTATCATTCCAGAACCCATAAATTTTATTAACCCCATCAGTTGCACCCCAACCACTGTCAGATGCGTCTGTAAAAATTTCAACCACAAAGTCATTGGTTTTTATAGGATTCACAGCCGTATTCAAATGACTTTCCCACCAATTCAAGTCCGGTAATATAGTCTTTGGAGCCCTCATGATCCTTCCATAGTCATTATTATTATTTACTAGCACTCTAAATTTTTCCTTTTAAGGAGCCAATAAGTCGCGCCAATTCCCGAATTGTACAAATTTCAAATCTTCAAAAATACTGAACCAGTCCCTTTAACTTTTCTCTTTTTTCCTGTGTAATTTCAGCGAGGCATTTATCCGAGTCTATTACAAATCTTAGCTATTTACATCGCAATGACGGAATTAAATTACTTTTGGTATAATTTATAAGAAGACCTAACTCTTTTAACAACTTCTTTGTCTCCTTCACATTAATCTGACAATTTTTATATGAATCCGCAATACACAGAATATCGTCTAGATATAGAACAGAGAAAAATCCTTTTGATCTTAATAATTTTATCACTGGTTTCATATGTTTTGTAAATATAAAGGGACACGTAGACAAACCATTTGGTAGACACGTAAACTGGTATAATTCGCCATCAAACTCAAATCTCAAGTATTTTCTACTACTTTTTCTTACCGGAACTAAAAAGTGCATCCTGTAAATCTATGTTACTCATAAAATCACCAGGAAAAACCAAATTAGTGACAGTTTTTATACTTTCCATCTTAAAATGATTACTTTTAATAAATTCATTCAACCTTTTCAGATTCAATATAAATCTATATGATTCATTTGCCTTAGGTTTTAAAAAATAACTTGATATGAACTGATTTTTAACTGGTTGACATTTCTCTATAACTCTCTTTTTCTTTAATAATTCAACTGCTCGTTCATACTTCCTCATTTCACTTACCGAATCAATGCTTACTTTAAGCTTATTCACTTGTATCCTCGTTCTCTCAAATTTCAATTTGTACCCTTTGATACAGTCCAAAACAACCTTATCGTCGGTGATTTTTTCCTAATTATTATAAAATTTCTTTAATCTCCCTGCAATACCTACATTTATATCCTCCCTTCTTGATCTCTTCGGTTCTGCACTGCTCTGTCTCTTGGTATGTACCGATTCTGATTCTTTACCCTCGAGTTGTAAAGAAATTGCTTGTTCTTGAAGAACGGTCGTGGCCTTGAATTTGCCGGATGATTTCCTTGGCCCATTCGCAAAAACGCCGGCTTCGTCGTTTGTGGGCCGCTCCAGTTTAAATTATTCACTGGCCTCAATGGTCTAGATGATCCAGCCTGTTTTATATCCTGCCCAATCTTCTCCAACGCTTTCGCTTCTTTTATCCTTTCCTTTAAATTACTCCCAAACACATATTCATCTGTTTGGGTATTAGTCAGAATCGCCTTCTTATGCCTATCAACGCCTGGTAAAATGAAAGCCTTTCTAGCCTCCGTCTGATCGAAGACTAGCTGGTTTATCAATTTTGCGGCATCATTAATTTTTTTCACAAAATCAATTTTGTCTACACCATCTTTTTCATCTATTACGCTATTGAACATGGCACCTAATATTGCCAAAGTAGACGTTGCCAATTTTTGCCTTTGCATGAAATGTGAATCGCGTTTAACCGAAGATTGCATTAGAAATGCAGCAATTTCTGCATTTAGCTTGGGTGGTTGTAAGTTTCCCGGTGCCGGATATTTGGCTATTAATCTTTCTTTTTCCACGTCCTTAAACCCTTTGAAAAACCAATGAGACCATCTTTTACTAATGGAATTATGCAGTTTTACCTGCTTTGTACAATCTACTGTAGGGTCTGCTCCTAGAGCAGCCAAGCAATCCTCATTCAACTCATCTTCCAAGGTATCCGCCTCTTCCACATTCGGCTTATCAATCACATTTTCTTTATCATTTCCATTATTAATTTCCTCCATAACTGTATCACTCTGAATCGAGCTTTCCGATTCTATGCTACCTGTAACCAAGAGACAGCGCCATGCGTTTAAAACTTGCGCATGTGTTGTGCGCGTAAAACAAAAAACTGTCATGCCGCTCGTGCATGCGCTACGTTTTCATTTGAAAGTTATTCATCTAATATAATTCGAATGTTGCACCGCTCGTGTACATGCCATCGAATGACCGATCATTGTCCTGTCGCTCGTACAGGCGCTTGATGGATATTTTAATTTTACACTCACCATCATCAGACATGCTTCCTTCCTTTAATTTCTTCATTTCAGCCTTCAACAACTCCATCTGCTTATGCAGAGTTTCCACATTCACTTCTGCTCTATGTTTTCCCATGGCACAATATTACACTTTTACGTTCGCGAAGTGACCTCTGTCGCACAGCGAGAAAGAATTAGCGTCGATGGTTGCCGTGTGCTTCGTGGGCACGGGCTGTGACGCACGGCACATCCCATCTTTTGTTTTTTCTCTAAAATCGCTGTGACCAATGTCGGGAAGAAGAGGGAACTACATGTTGTAATATTGAGAACGAGGGCGAAATATAATTAATAATGCAATAGTGTAAAAACTTTTGACACTTGGCAGCTTATGAATGATGACATCTGTTTCGACTCTCGACACTCGATGGCCGACGAGCAATGCCGAACCGAATGATTCCGAGAGCCGACGAACGACACTCGTCTTTTGCTTAGCTCCTATTGGCTAAGGGTTGACGACGGGGAAATCATACGAAAAATACCATTTCTGACAGATTTATGGCATGATATTACGATATCTCAGTTGTACGTGGACCGATTTTATTGATTTTGGTTTTATTCGGAAGCTTATATGCGGTTCACATCAGAAAAATGCATTTAAATTTAGAAAATATTGCAGGCGTGTTGAGATATTCATGAAAGAAGTTTCAGGTTAGGTTTGAATGGACCATCTCTCTTGTAAAAGATACGTGGTAACTCCAACGCCAGATAATTTTTCATGTACTTGGCGCCAAGACGCTACCGCGTCTCTAGATTATGAGCATTTTTTCCAAATTTAATAGTGTTAGTTGGTGGCGTTTGTCTGTTACAATTAATTTATACGCGGAGAACGATCGCTCTACGCCACACGAAGTAATCGGTGCGTATTTAAATTTAAAACAACATTGTTCCGGCACACTTATTGGTCCTTAAACGCCCTCGTTATTTAAAATATTAAAAATTTTCGGTAATGTAGAAAATCCTACATTCTTTTCTAAAGTTCTTTTACATTTTTTTCTAATCTTTTCACCGCAATCACCAGGAATACTTTTTAGATGTATTATACTATTCATATGTTCCTCTGTTTCACATGAATTACCAGTTTATTCGATTTTCCTCTTATGTGTGCCGGTATTTATGTGTTGATCTAAATGCGATTTTGTTCCACACTTCACATTTTTATTGGAAATTTTACAATAAATGCTTCTGTCATCGTTATCATTATTGTCGTAGTCATTAATAACAAAATTGGAATCGTTTTTTATCCAACTTAGCATTAATACTTTTCTACTTTTTCTAACTTTCGGCATTTTTAGAGAATTAAGAGACACTTAAATATGTTCATTTCTTCACAGAGATCACATTGACTGCGATAATTGAACTGAAGTATTCAAATTCGAAATACAAACTGTCACACCTAACGGTCGATTAGCAACACAAGGTTTCAGAAATATGGTTCCATATGGCCTGTATTTGTGTAAACACTACACAATTATGATACGAAAGTATGGTGATAAACGAAACGAAACGATATATATGCAATATATCATTGCATATGTTTTTAAACATAAATATGCAAAATATGCAAAATAAAAAATATATTTTTATAGCATTCTAATTTCAAAACAAATTTCTGTCTAGGTCCCATACTTTTAACTATTTTCTATAAAAATATGCATTTGCATAAACTTCCGCAGTCTAATAATAACAATATTAAATTGTAATGTAATGATTAAATAATAATTCAAATGAATAAAAGGGAATGATTTAATAATGAGTAGGACCTCCTTTCTTCTCGATTAACTCAAAAATGCGACTTGCCATACTCCCAACTAGTTTTTTCAACATTTCATCGTTAATTTCATTTCAGGATTTTAGTACAGCTTCTTTTAACTGCGAAATATTCGAAAATGATTGGTTGTGTGCATAAATACGCCTTACCATCATACCTCATAAATTTTCCATCGGATTTTGATCCGGGGAGTATGCTGGTCACTTTAATAAATTTATATTAAGTGTTTGAAACCACCTTAGTGTTGCTCGACTTTTGGATATTGGGGCATTATCTTGTTGATACGTCCAAGTAATGTGGTTCTTCGAATGAATAAACGGCAACAAATTGTTCTCAAATATTTCAATATAGTCTAAACTATTCATTCTGGATGAAGGAAACGCTAATTCCAGCTTGCCACTCGAGCAAAACGCAGCCCATACCATTAACATTCCCCCTCCAAAATTGGTTTTAGAGAAATATTTTGGATCTTTTCGTAGATTTCTCCGATAACAATTAAACCCATCTGGGCCATCGAGATTAAACTTTTTCTCATCGGAAAATATTACCTAACGAAGAACGTTAAATGGAAGAAAACACGGAAAACTTTACTTTGGGGGACCTACAATTTTCAAGTTTTTTTTACAGAAGCCTGTAGATTTTAGCGAGTGGAATCCAAAAATGTTAGTTTTCATGCGAGGAATCCACTGGTTCAGAAGTTATGAGCAGTTAAAGGTGAACCTTTTTACCGTATTTGTCAGGCAATTCAAAAGTTGAATTCGTACTCTAGGGCTGCGGCCCTCTTCCTGCACCCCCTCCCGAGAAAATAGGTCCTAAACCAACTCTGTTAATTCGAAATATGGCAGTTTTCAAAAATAGGCATAACAATATAAAAGTAGTACATAATGTAGTCCGCCACTTGAGAATCTGTTTTACCGACAAGGTACAAGACAATATGGCGCCGAAAGTGTCAGTCAAATACGGTAAAATGCCACTTTTAACTGCTCATAACTTCTGAACTAGTGGATTTCTCGCTTTAAAACTAGCATTTCCGGATTTTTCTCGACAAAATCTACAGGATTATGTAAAAGAAACTTAAAAATTTTAGGTCCGCCAAAGTAAAGTGCAGCCGAAAACAATGTCACCTCTTAATTTGTCGATTAACATTAAACTTATATGATCCCAGTTTGTATTCATGTTTCCGCGGGCGTATTTCATTCTTGCTATTTTGTAGCGTTTAGAAAGAACGGGTGCTGAAATTAGTTTTTGTCTGGCAATGTTTGGATTCCTTCTAAAGACGCGTTGAATGGTCCAACGCGACACTTCGAGTTTAGATTCCGTTGCAATTTCCCGACCGCTTTTCAAACTATTGCTCCCAATTTTAATAATCTGCCTCTCAGCACGTGGGAACAGTTTCTTCTTAGGTCCTCCTTTTTCATTTTGGCCATATTTCGACGGATTACGTAAAAAATTTGATATTACTTTAGGACCTAATTCCCAGTTCTAGTTTGTTGTAAGCTAAAATTTCATCTTGCTCTTTCTCAATAAGATACTTACCGCGTGCATTGTATTAATTAATAAATACAACTCTGAATTAGATGAAAATTTGGTGACAAACACGGTTGAAGTGTGATGACAATGAAGGTGGTGCTATAGTTTTGCACCGATTCTATAATGTTTTTCGACTTTGTATCGATATATGCTTAGACTACTTCTGTTGATATTATTCAGGTTAGGAGTTGTTTGAAAAGATTACTTGATAATATGAAGATTACTTTATAATTAATTGCCGTGTGTGATCTTCTCCTTAAGACCGAAAAAAAGACTGATAAAAACAAAAGAATAAAACCTTGAACAAAAACGAAACTTAATCTAGTAACTTAAAAACTACATAGTAACACAAAAACGAGTCTTACAGTGGCGCTTAATTTAAAAAGTAAATAACTATAGTGATCATTGTCTCATCTACAACAACTTCAGTATATTTCCTCTGAAATTAATTATTTACGTCGCTTTTTCATATTATCCAACTACTTTCTTCGAATTTTTCTTTTAAGTTTAAAAAATCTTAATAATATCAGTGGTGCTACAGTTATGCATCGCAGTGTATAATACTTTACTATTGAAATAAATGTTCAAAAAACACGAAAAATCAGCGGCTTTCGATGCAACCTCCTAATATGTAAATATATTTAAAAGTTTTACTACCGCCATTTATTGATGAAATCCGCAATTTACTTAGTCGCCAATCTGATATCTTCTCAACCGCATCACAACTCGACACGTTGACAAAGCGAATCGTCGATCCTGTATGGTCGAGCGATCGAAAACGACTGACGTGGAAGACAAAGATTCGCAATACGGTATTCGATTAATGTGAAAATCGCTCTCACGACGATTCGTTTCCCAGACGAGCTACCAGATCGTATCTCAGGGATTCTCGAATTGATCTTACACGAGAAAAAAGGAGACTGCTCTCAGATGTCATACGTTGCGAAGAATACACGGGATATGATGGCTCTTAACCATAAAACTGTTCGGAACGGAACGTCAAGATCGGTCTCGAAGGCCGTATCACTTTCATCATTTCCTGTTGTTAATGGGAATTTCGCGTTTAGGATTCTCTTCGTTTTATCTATTTTAAATGAATGAAAAGTTTGTATTTTTCAAATCAATTTCTGTTTTAATCAAATACGTAACGTCTCATCAAAAGCAGAATGAGTTATTAGCAACACAGGTCTAGGTTTTTAGTCTATTATTGTACAGTGGATTTGTTTTTGCTAATGAAGCAAATTCTAAATTTTGTATTGACTCGTTGTCTTTTAGGTAGAGAGAGTCTTTTAAGTTCTGCTGTCTTTTAGCCATGTATTATGATATGTTCCATTGTTCGTTCAGTTTTACATTCAGTACTATCTTTAAATGATTTTCATTCGGCCAATTTCAATGTTATGGTATTTTTAAAAAATAGATAAATAAAGGTAACGAATAAGACTATATTCTCCAACTTTTTTAGATTTTTAAAACTATACTCGGTGACTAGAAATGTCTGTTCGGTCAAGACTTCTATAATACAGCTGCCTCGAGAAAGACCTCTTAAGAACAATTATTACACTGAAGTTCACTTTAGATGTTGTACATAATCATTGTTTCCTGAAGAGAGTCTACGTAAGCCAACATATAAAAATCTGGATTCTATAAATTTACCTAATCATTTATTTTGAACAGAATAAACTACATCCGTCTATAATTTATAAAATATCTGAGACAAAATTTACATATTTTCACTAATTGTAATAAATGTACACGTATGCCTATCTATGTATTATAAAACTACTCAAAACCAGATTGTGAATGGCAATGCTTAAAATGTCTATTGTATATTCTTTACAGATAATTAGGCTCATCTAGCTATCTTTTAGGCGAAATACAAGGTCGTTATTGAGAGAACGTTATTTATTTTAATTAGCGTAATTGCAATTAATGACTACCTGTAGAAAACGAGAGATTAGTAACCCAACAATTATTGCGACAAAAATTGTCTACGGTATTGCACAACTTTCACCGTTAGTACAACGCTGTTGCGGAG